GGGGGGGGGGAATGACTCCATGTTACAGTCCCTTGGTCAGTTCTGGTCTTCCCAGTTTTGAACAGTTGAGCCATATAGATAGCTACTGACAGTCTCAAATTATGGCATTTGTCTGATATGTCCTGAGTCTGCCTGAAAACAGAAGAATTTCTGAATGTTTGCCTAGCTCTCAGGCAAAGCCATCTGGATTTTTAGTTTTAAAGATGTCAAAATAGCATTTATTTGTGTTTCTACTTTAGTAATGGTCACTACCACTAACATCTGTGAAGAAAATGAGTGGTCCACACAATATTTTAGTTGCTTCTTCTTTTTTTTTTTAATGCATTTTGGTGATACATAATAAATGTCTGACATTACTGAGTCCTATTTCTATTTAAAATCTGGAATCCTGGTAAGGGTACAAACATATCAGAATGTTTGAATCTTCCAGAAAAATAACCTGTAAGAGTATTCAAACAGCATTCAATTAATCAGATTTTGATGGCGTGACTTTGGAGAGGTGTTTTTTTCTTTATAAATAACCAGTAGAAACACTCATTCATTCATTCAAAAATTCTATTCAGAAAGTTGTTTGAATAAGGCTTTTATTTTACAAAAGCTACAAGTTTTTCCACAGTAAACAGAATTTTTGCTAATATTAAAGCAATGTCTTATTAACTGTGAACTGTTCAATGACTGACATTCTAATAATAGATGATAAATATAAATACAATAGATGTATTTGGCCCCCCTACTGATTCTTATCTGCCTTTTCCTATGTTGCTGTTACAAGTGGCTCTACATAGTCGCATAGTAAAGCACTATCAACATACATACAAGTGTGTGCAGCAAAGGCGCTCTACAAATCCCAAAAATCAAATAACACATACTGACAAATCACTTTATTTTGCATCTCTGCAAGTACCCTGAACTGACTTATTTAGTATGACTAGGAAAGCATATAAACAGCTCTGTGTTCGAAATAAATATATTTTGATATATTACCATATTCAAAGTAGAAGTTAAGAAATGCTACTATAAAGATATATCTGTAAGATAGATCAAAGAATAGATGGATAGATGGATAGATAGATGGATAGTTAGACATAGAAGAACTGAAAGAAAAAAACAGGATGAGATATAATGAATACTGATGAGAAGCATGGCAAGGGTGGGAAAAGAACTATGCTGTTAATTTGCTCTGCTTCACAGACAGGCAGGACTGGAAACTCAAAAAATTTCTGCTTTTTATCCACACATAAGCAATACAACAGTAATGTTTGTGATACAGGCTTTCATGACTGACATCATCTACTTGGACCCATGCAAAGCTTTTGACACTGTCCTGCCCAACATCTTTGTCTCTAAACTGGAGAGACATGGATTTGATGGATGGACTACTCAGTGGATAAGGAACTGGCTGAATGGTCACCCTCAAAGAGTTGTGGTCAATGGCTCAATGTCCAATTAGGAGAGCAGTGACGAGTGGTGTTCCTCAGGGGTCAGTGTTGGGACTGGTGCTGTTTAACATCTTTGTTGGTGACATGGACAGTGGGACTGAGTGCACTCTCAGCAAGTTCACCGATGATACCAAGCTGTGTGGTGCAGTCAACATGCTGGAGGGAAGGGATGCCATCCAGAGGGACCTGGACAGGCTTGAGAGATGGGCTTGTGCAAACCTCTTGAGGTTCAACAAGGTCAAGTGCAAGATCCTGCACATGGGCCAAGGCAATCCCAAGCACCGATACAGGCTGGATGGCATGTGTTGAGAGCAGCCCTGTGGAGAAGGATTTGGGGATAGCAGTACATGGAAAACTGACTAAGAGCCAGCAATGTGTGCTCGCAGCCCAAAAGCCGACTGTATCCTGGGCTGCTTCAAGAGAAGTGTGGCCAGCAGGTCAAGGGAGGTGATTCTCCCACTCTAGTCCACTTTCCTGAAACCCCACTTGGAGTACTGTGTGGTCTTCTATACCTGGTGTACTGAAGGCCTTATAGTGGCCTTCCAGTACTTAAAGCGGGCCTACAGGAAAGATGGGGAGGGACTCTTTATCAGGAAGTTTAGTGATAGGACAAGGAGTAATGGTTTTAAACTTCAAGAGGGTAGATTTAGATTAGATATCAGGAATAAATTCTTTAATGTGAGAGTGGTGAGACACAGGAACAGGTTACCCAGAGAAGCTGTGGCTGCCCCCTCCCTGGCAGTGTTCAAGGCCAGGTTGGACGGGGCTTTGAGCAACCTGGTCTAGTGGAAGGTGTCCCTGCCCATGGCAGGGGCGTTGGAACTAGATGATCTTTCAGGTCCCTTCCAACCAAAACCATTTTTTCTGATTCTATGATATGATCCATTCCTACAATGATGGAAAAGCTGTATTTTGGGATGAGATTGTAAGCCCCAGGGCATATGGATAGTTACAGGCAGTAGCACTGTATTGAGAAGAAGTGAATGTAAATTTAGGCTTGTCTTTATAACAGCACTGTGCAACTGTAGAAAAACTGTGTGTCATATGTGCCTGTCTCAAAACCGGACAACACTTTCCCCTTCTGTCCTGGTTCAGCTAGGATAGGGTCAAGTTTCCCCAGCAGGGGGAAGGGATCTCCAGCCAGGTTAATCAGCAGCAGCGCGGGAAGCTTTCCTTGATGGCTTTGGTCACAGGAAGCACGTGTGGAGGGCTGGATGTGTTCACTGCGGTATTTCTCTGTATATCTTTTGTCTTGTTTACTGCTGTTACTGTTTATTGTTGTTATTATTGCTATTCACAGAATCACAGAATCATCTAGGTTGGAAAGGACCCTGGAGATCATCTAGTCCAACCGTTCGCCTAGCACAGTTCCCACCTACAGCATATCCTTCAGCTCTAAATCGAGCTGACTCTTGAACACCTCCAGAAATGGGGACTCCACCACCTCCCTGGGCAGCCCATTCCAACACCTAACAACCCCTTCTGGAAAGAAATGCTTCCTAATATCTAGTCTAAACTTTCCCTGGCACAACTTGAGTCCATTCCCTCTTGTCCTGTCGCTTTCTACTAGGCTAAAGAGGCTCAAACCTGGCTCTCTGCACCCTCCTTTCAGGCAGCTGTAGAGGGCGATGAGGTCTCCCCTCAGCCTCCTCTTCTCCAGACTAAACACCCCCAGTTCCCTCAGCCGCTCCCTGTACGACCTGTGCTCCAGACCCTACACCAGCTTTGTAGCCCTTTTCTGGACATGTTTGAGTAACTCAGTGTCCTTTTTGTAGTGAGGGGCCCAAACCTGAACATTTTTGTTGTTGTTGTTCAGATTGTTATTTATTACACTGTTGTGTCAAATCTTCCCGTATTTCAACCCTGAGGTTTGTGCCCTACTTGGTTCGAGGGTGGAGGAGGGACAACGGCAACGTGGTCTCCGGTCCCAGCAAGGCCTAAACCACCACATTCCTTTTCGTTGCCCAACGTGGGGCACAAGAGGGTTGAAATAAGGTTCAAAAAGGGACAGACCCTGACCATAGTGTGTTGGAGTAATCTGTTGGGTGCAATTTTCTCTGTTTGTATATGTATTGTTTTATAAGCAATATCCTAGTGCTACATACATGGGCAATTCCATGATCAAGACAACTCAGCTCAGTCAGCAGTCAAACTTCTCCTTGCTGACTCCAATGAAAGACTTTTTCAGTGACCCCTGAGGTTGCAAGGAAGCATACACTCCACATACCTCCTTGCAGCTACTGGGTCTGTTCACTGTCCCCCCAGTTGCTGTTATTTTAACATCACAGTTACTGTTTCTCATCATGCAGTGCTATGTCCTCTCTGACGTGCTGTGTTTTCATGGATACAGCTATGCCACTTGATCAGTTAGCAGTGGTACACAGCTTACATAAAACAAGATGCAGATTTTCCCTGAGCTTCCTTCCATTGACACACATGGAGAAGCTTACCAAGTATAGTGCGGCAGTGTAGGATCATATCAGGTGAAGCCTAGAAACAGCTTTTTTCCTCGGTTTTAATGACACTCTGCACAAATTAGCAATGCCTGAGCCAGATTAAGTGCTTGAACCCTGCTCAATTTCTGGATTAGCTCATGCTGAGCCAATTAAGAGGCTTCTGCACACAATGGGTTTATCCTATAAACTCATCCTTAGCTTAATATATTTAGTGTCAACTGTTCAGTAAAGATTGGGTCCTTCTGTTTTCCTTTTCTGTTGGGTGTGGTCCTTAAAGATTTCTTACCAGTTTCAATAGAGTCAGGAGCTTGCCTGGGATTGACATATTTTCCCTCCATACCTGGGAGCACTACTCCATGCCTCACCTGAGGTCACTACACTCCAGTACAAAGGAGATGGTCTCTTCTGTCACCCTGCTTCTTGTAGCTTGCACTCACTATAGTTTGCTGAAGCATTCAGGTAAGGTGACAGATACTATATAAATACAAAACCCAATAAAAGCTGTATTAAAGAGCACCACACAAGGGAAGAAATTGGTATTTCTATTCCCAATAAAGTAATCTTTCTTACCCTTATAGAGAACTGTATGCAGTATTATGCTAAAGCCAGACATTTTTCTACTCTTTTTCCCGATACTATTTTTTTCCCTTTTTTGTGAGACAGAGGAAGCTATTACAGTACTAACCACACAGTGGTGCTAAATGGCATTTGGATCATATCTTTAGCAGAATATAGGAAAAGCTATCCCATTTTTAACATATGTAAATAGCACGAATAGTAGTTATATTGGATTATAGTGCAAAAATAAATTAGCAACCAAAACAGATGGTTTAAGATATGCACCTTGTACAGCTGTAGCTGTTTGTTGTGCCCATTTAGTGTCCGAGAAAGAGAGAATGGCCTTTTGCTTCTGCCAAAAAGCAGTTTGGCTTGTGCAATTTTTTATCATCAAATGTATTTTCCACCAATAATAAATGTAGTTAAGGAAGGCTTAATTTTTCTCAATTTGATATAGAAATGTCTCCATGTTTTTTGCGTAACAACAGAACCAAAAAGCATCTATGCAGTGACTGACAGTTTCTGGCTGCAAGACATTTTTCAGGAAAAATAAAAGCAAACTTTATAAATGGTTTTTAAATGGCTCAGCACTGAATTCCTGCAGCACGTATAGCATCAGAATATGCCGTGCATATGTGCAAACCTGTTTTTAAAGCACATGACACTTTTTATTAGTGGCATTGTTTATTATTCATAATTCATAATTGAAAGTGTTAGTCCTATTCATTCACCAGATTTGATTTAAAGAAGGACTTAAATGCATACCTGACTTAAATATTTGCATAATCGCACAAGGTCAAATCAGTGTTTTGAACATCATGCAATGTGAAATTGCTTCTTTGGAGACAAATGAATAGTGCTGTTGCAGGCCTGTACAGTATGGGTAGCAGGCATATTAATAGGTGTCCACAGTATTGTGAACGTCCAGCACTTCTGAAAATCTGAAAACTGCTACCCATGAAAACATATTTATATTATTACAAGCATAAAGGGTATGAAAAGACAACTGAATTAACAGTATTTTTAAGAATCCACATTGCTCTTGTTAGCCTGAGATCCAGCAGGGAGTTTAAGTGGATGGATTTTGGATGATTCCAAAGTGTCTTGAAACACTTGGATCATTTAAAGCTTAGTGAATGGGACCTTTTTGCTGAGAAAAGTTTTGTGAAGGGCAATATGTAGGGTCTGTATAATGGCATTCTTTACTAGAGGACCTGCATGTTGGGTTTATCTTTCCACATTCCTGCATAGAACAAAACTGGTATTTCCTGACCTTCACAGCCTGTCACTGTCCCCAAGCTCAGAAGGAATTAGGATTATATTTTTTCCCCTCCTGTTCAGTGACAATGATCTATCATTTACATTAGGCAACATCGACTGATGTTCTGCTGTTTGTAAAAGTGCCATAAACTTTCAGACATGTCATATCTTCTCATTGGAAAGACTAATAATAAATGAAGCAAAATACAGTGATCAGCTCTAAAGTATCTGGATATAGAAATAGCTGTGTCAGGTTTTTGGGTTTTTTTTGGGTTTTTTATGTTTTGTTTTTTGTTTTTTGTTTTTTTTTAATTAGATACTATATAATTCCCCATCCATATAGCAGTCTCAGAAGTGGCCAGGCATTTTGCATATGCTGGTCCTAACATAACTGCATCAGGCAAATTCATACATGCATGCTCTCATCAGTAACAAGTATTATATTCATGCTCTTTGAATCTGCATCACTCTATTGAATGTTTTGCCTATACAGTCTAATATATATACACACACTGAACCTAAAATTCCATTGCTGTGTATAAAAACAAGCAGCACAGCTGAGGCTTAGTATTAATCCAGGGAGAACTGAATCCTATCAAAAACCTACACTTGATACTCAAATATTCATTTTTCAATGGTTCCTACTGATTGCCATTTCCGACTGGCAGTGTATATGGAGGGGCATGCAGCTGCTCAGCCTGACAGTTCCAGATGGAGCTATTTTTGAGTCACCTCCATAGAGGGAAAAAGGTGATCAAAACATTTTTTAAAAATTAAACGAAGTTTAAAAATTCACATAAGGAGTAAAAAGTACATTCAAACTTTTAGTCAGAAAAGAAGGGGGGGTGTGAAGAGCAAAAAGAATTTGTGTCTTACTGACAAATTACTGCCTGTGGGTATCATAGCTTCCATTTTATGTAACTAAAACTAGCAGAAGAGTAAGTGACATCATCTGGTCCTTTAATGCACCCATGGATAATGTACCATTTCCCGGGTCAAGAGGTTGAAGCCAGGAATTTTATTGTTAGAATGAGTATAATGCAAATATAGATCCATGGTCAGAGCCAGGGGAAATTTAAGTACCTAAATTCTAAATTCTATTGGAACTAAATATTCTCTTTTCCTAAAGCCTGTCTTAATACACATATACAGAACTGTTCCCTTCACAGACGCTTGTATAGTGTTCAGCTTATAGATGTGTTTAATTTATAAAAATTACACCTACAAGCATGAGAACTGTCTATAAAACATAACCTGGCTGTTCAGAATGAGCTGGTGGTTCAGATTTCTTTCTATCAAACAAGTTGATCATTTGTGTACATGTACATGCCTGCACTCAGAAGACAATCATTGGTTAAAACGGGACAGTCACTGGTTTGGATCTCTCCTACTGAGTGCTTTAAACACTGAGTTCCAAATAACACTTATCCTTTCCATCTTCAAAATTCATAAATTCAGTAATCTTGAATTTATTCTAGCACACTAACACAACATCAACAGCTGAGATGCAACGTGGTCCCTTGCATGAACATCTGATAACCAGCTATTTGGAACACTATTAAGGGACTGGAAGTAGGACACATCAATTTGCAATATTTTGGGACTTCTCTACCCTGAGTAAAAACTCTGTTCACCACAGTACTGTACAACTGCTTCATTATTAAAATAACATAAAATAAAAACTTTCCAAATAAAATGCTTGTAAGTGCATATAAAATATATTATCACAAACATAAAATATATCTTTTTAATTCCATGCTCAGAACTGGATCATTTTTCATATGGTTTTAGGTGGAAAACTTCCCATAAAATAGAAATTATATTTTCTAGACAGAGATGAAAGTTACTCCTCTGCCATTAAAACTGACATTATTTATGAAAAGTCATACCTGATTGTATATGAAATAAAATATTAAACTCCAATATTTCTTTTAAGACTAAGATCAAACCCACAGATTGTAATAAAGATACAAACTACTGTGTGCTACTTATCAGGTATAATTGCACAACGTTTATTCTCTTACCTAGTTTCTCACTTGAGCCATAGGTACATACACCCCATCAGTGCCACATACCTTTTTCAGTTTGATGACTCCTTCCTGGGTGTTCTCATCTGTTGTGATGTCAAACAGGTTTCCTCCATCTCCTGGAACTATGCTGTACTCAATTTCTGCATTCTTCCCGAAATCAGGGTCCACAGCTCTGATCCTTCCAATAGCGGAACCAACGTGAGAAGACTCAGGTACTTTTAAATGGAAGATACCTGTGACAAAGTGGCAGACAGTCATTCTTGGGATTCCTTGATAAGTAACATAGCATGTCTGATTAAAACTATGGAGCCTGTGCAAAATAAATAGATTTAATTTATCCAATTGAAACAATGAGATCAAAACAACAAAGGATTAGGAAAAAATATACATGTTTTACCCACTGATTTCCCCTAGGTTCTAGATTTGGTCCAGTGCAACTGTAAGTGCCTTGGAATCTCTGTCTCTTGAGATATCTAGCTATATTTCTATCTTTAATTTTATCCATGTGGTTGGCTATTTTGAATTAAATTGTACTTTTAGATAGTACATGTTTATAAGTATTTTCCTCTTACGTTTAACAGTTTTAAGTATCTGAATTTTAATTTTGTTTGAGAAAATACATCTATGCATTTCACAGTAGTTGAAAGGAAAACTTCTATGGAAAAACGATTTTCACCCATTTCTGTAATATTTGGCATTATAATGACATGTACAACTCCTTAGGGAGGGAAAGATATAAAAGGTACTGTTTCTATATTAGCCACCAGAGGATGCTCTTACTAAAAGTTCAGCGCTGAAAAATTTTTAGCTCTCCACACTTTCATTTTCAATTTTTACTATTAGTGGTAACAAAAGTTTTAAAAAAATACACAAAAATTACACACTTTTAAACGAAGCATTACTACTGATACGTGAGTACAAATTGGTTTCATTCAGGGAAACAGCTCTGTTGGAAAAAAATGTTAGACATAACAGTTAAAATAGCTAAAAGAAAAGGTCCAAAGTACTTTTGGGTCAGCCTTGACTTTAACAACATCACTAGCATCAGGCCTTAGTTTATAACAACCTGTCCTGGCTTATTACAGCAGTGGTAAAGCACCTGCCTTTCCTGCTCAGCTGCATCTCTGGCTGGAGTTGTTATTTTGCACAGCTGCCATTGAACACCACCATGTTCACATACTTCCAGTGGACAGGTAGCATTCACCTTTCTTCACGCAGCAGCCTTTGCTGTCAAAAGCGGCAGCAGCTTTTGAGGCTGATTTCACAGCAGGCCCAAGATGCTTGATTCACTTCATCCTGGCTCTCAATAAAGGTAGCTTTTTGTTTTTCTGGGTCATTCTCCAACAGCTCTCACACAGCATCCCCTTTGGCACAGGAAAACATAGGCAATGGCCTCCTTTGTTCCTCGTAGAGGAAATTTGCACCTCTTTCAAAAGTATAGCAGAACAGGCATCTGTGACTAGTGGGAAGCATATTAGGGAGAGGTCTCAGAGATTTCCACCTGGCCATGGTTCAGTCAGATTCACAAAATGAGGATCTGAGAAGTTGTATATCATGTAACAGCAGTATAGATGATTTTTGCATCCAGCCACTGAATTAAACAGCAGATGCTGTTCCCTGTCGTTATCTCCTTACGATGCATGCTGTGTCAGCTTTTTCAGTTTTACAGTATTTCCAGGTGAGGAAAAAAAATTACATTAGCACTGCTAGATTAGGAGCAAACCTAGCTCTTTTGTGAGCTAGTAGTTTGGGCTCTGGTACCTATATAAATGTCTTTTTGATTGCCTCTGAAAAAATGTGTTTTGTCTGCTTCCTCCCCCTGTCCATCCGTATGCAAAGTATACCGGTAGGCAAAACTTGCTTTCTCTGAGAAAATCCCTGTAAGTAAAGTCTGCTTGTGTCAGCATCCACATTTGGACATTACCACGTGTAGCTTTGTACTATTCATTGACTGAACTACTAAAGGTTGTGCAATTATCATTTAACTATTTCTTCCAAGGGAACATACTAAAGGAACGTTTCGTTCTTTTTCCAAAGGAATGTAATAAAGGAAGCTTGTTTGTTTGTTTTCTTGTTGTTCTAACAGCTGGAAATGTGCACTATGACACAAAATATCGTCAAGACAAGAGTAGCCTCAGCTATTTCTTACTCGTACTTCAATGACTGAGTAAAGAATACAGTTTTAAGATGGTGTGCAGGAGACAATCACAAATGCTATTATCTAATGTCACTTATAAATATATGTATTACTGGGTCTCTGCTATACAAGTTATTCAGAAGAGGTGGAAGAAAAAGGATCCAAAAGACCTTTGCCTGCACTTGAACCTTATAGTACATTTCCACAACACAGTTGAACCCTGATGCCCAGGTCTTTTACAGACACTTATACCTGATGACAGAAATCATTGCTGCAGTGTTTTCTCTTTATAGTCACAATTTTGGTGAATGTAAAATGTAAGAGCATATGCTAATGGATTTTTCCTTCTTTGCTTAGTTGATCTATTTTTAGTGAACTAAGGAACACTCAGATTCATTAAAACAAACATTTCTCTATAAAATATTGTACCTGGTTGTAAAGCGTATGGGACTTAGATGAAGTCAAGTAAACACATCGTTACTCATTTCAAATTGTTTAGGCCTTTATCAGTTATTTTCAATGACTTGGTATTTCATCACTTCCAGAAATTCAAGAGCCATAAAGATGGGGTCATACAGATTAATTTGAAACTCTGAAGTAATCTTCAACTCTGCCAGAGTCAGATCTCTGAAGATGTAGTATGTAATTACACTGCCATCGTCCTTCTGTAATATTATCTTCACAGCATATGGAAGTTCTTAATGGTGTTACTGTGACAGCATACTTTCAGAATAAAATAAATGAAAAAAAAAATTTATATTGTTGCCGGCTCAGGGAAAAATTTCAAGAGAATATAATGTATAGCATGAAAATGACGTTTTTTCTGCCAAAAAATAGTCTTTGTACAGGGGGCATTTGAAATGATCAATACATGCTGCACATGAAATATAAGAGAAAGACAGTTTTGTAGATTTTTATTTTTCTGTTTCTAGAGGACTTTACTTCTTGATGTAGGCTTGCTGTGACAGTTTAACGTTATTCAGTTTTTATTGTCCATTTTGCCTGTATACACTACTACCTCCATTTGGTAAAAAGGTATATTGAAACAGGTCTGAGTAATAGCCTTTTACTCCCAAAGGTCCTGAAAACCTTGTTGTGTGCAGCTTCTAGGAATGATGGAACATGCAGCTCAGACAAACTTATGCAGCAGCTGGTTATGCTGCTCAAACAGCTCTGTCAAATTTTGTATATTGTCCCCTGTGACTTCTTTGCCTACAAAAATCTTTTCTTCTACTTGCATAAATCTTTTAAATGTATTTTGTAAATTTGTTCCTGGCTTTTGTAAAGGATGAGTTATGTGGGATGTGCCAAAGATGCAAGACCTTACTTCTCTCAGACTGCACTATGAAACTGTACTCTGCAAGTAGTTACCCTTTTGCTAATTTCAGTCATGCATATTGCATGCAAGTTGGAATATTTTCACATATAGGGAAGCTAGTAGCAATGTATATTGCTTGTTCAAGATTTTTCACTCTGTTGTAAGGAATTTTAAGAAAAAAAAAATGTTATTTTTAAGGTCAAAAGTTATGTGCCAGTTGAAGTTGCTTAACTTATGCAACACTTTGCACTTAAATTACACTTAAAATTCAACCCAGAATCCAAAACTAGAAAAAGCCCTGTGATTATGTAGCTTAGCATACAAGCATCCACTTATCAAGCCTGTGTAGTGTCTATGTGACTCAAGGTGTGAAACATCCTTGGAGTTTCAGGTTGAGCAGCATCAATGAGTATGATAAAAATAAATGAATGATGATGCTCTTGAAGTGTTTAGGCTGAAATGACGGATAGGGCTTGCTACTCAGCCCCAAAAGCATTCAGGAAGCAGAGGTAGAGGTGAGCTAACTACTCATACACGCTGCCTCCAAGTTTCTAAAACAAAGATGGTTCCAAAGTGCATAGCAGGAAGAAATCAGAGCAGAATAAGTGACAGGTAATCAGTCATACTGACTGAAATTCAGCACACATATACAGTTCTTTTGACATGATTAAATTAGTTTTAGTTTTTAAGGCTCAAAAACTGTTCTGAGATTTGATTTCTACTTACAAAGGGTTTTTTTTTGTTTGTTTTATTTCTTCACGCCTGCAATTTACAGGCACACCATTTGCCATAAATTTTTTCAATTCTGATGAGAATAAGAAATGAAAACCATCACTACATCTTATCAGCAAAACAGCCATTAAGAAATAACCCAGGTTAGCATCTAAGGGCTTAAGTTAAATGCATAATGGCCTTCCAGCAAATGGCTGTAAATGCTGTTTGAGCTTTTTTCTAATCTGTCACCATACACATAGTGTGTGTATGCAAGATTATCCTCTCCTGCTTTTTCTTTGTCCATATTTTTTTCAGTTCTCTTTGACAGTTGCCAAAGTATTGCATTGAAGTTAAATGTGATAGAATGAATTTGATAGTCAACGAGACTGATATAAAATAATTTCTTTCTCTTTGATCTAAATCTTTAATGTTTTTTCAGGAAAAAAAAACAAAACACAAAACAACAGATTATGTATATTATAGTATTTTTGTTAGTTTAAATTACCAAGGCATTTCAGTTTTTATCCTGGGCAGGTTATGAGGGCACTAATTTCTGTATGTTTAGGAAGAATCCAAAGACAACAGTTCATATTTACTTGATGGTGTTTTAACAATAGTGTAATAGGCAAAAGAAAGAATACTGTGAATACAAACAGATACTGAGTATACTAAACCTGTTAGCTACAGCTAATCAGCCTAATAATTAGCAGCTTCTGATGTACATGCTCCTAAAACTGGAAAGATTCGATTTATCACAGCAGTAATATAGAATTATTCATCTCCTAGCTGTGGCTCTGTGCACTGTGAGAGGAGGGGAGGGGAGGGGAGAAATGCCTGGCTTTGTCAACATGTTCTCTGATGCAGGTCATGCATGGCCTTGTATAGACTGGTAAAACTTCAGTAATGGCAAGGCTTCTTCCATTCTCAAACCCACTGCTCTGACTTAGGGTTTACGGCCTCATTAGATATAGCATAACCATTCTTAAAAATTCCTGGTACTCTGCTGTGGACTCCAAAGTCCACACCTAGCAAGGGCTACACTTCTGCAGACTGCAGAGATCCTG